GTATTTTTTTTTAGTATGATACACTCACTTGTATATATATCAACAACACAACATCAATACCATCTGGCGACACGAAAAGCAATCTTATTGCTTAGAAAATAAGGCATATTAAGACATAAGCACTAGATATATTTAAGCGTTTTTTAAACGTATTTCATATAAATATTAGAAGCTGCTTTACCAACTATTCGTTCATTAGTATTTACAAATTAATTATTTACTTTTTAAATAGATTTCAAAACAATTCCCTTTGGATAAATAAAATCGTACTTAATCTCCTTAACACAAGGTCCAATTTTAAATATCATTCACATTTTCTTAGTTTTAAAAATTAACCTTCCGTACTGATGTCATAAAGATCAAATTTCCTATTTAAATGCGTTTCACAAAACAATTTCCTTTGGATAAATAAAATCGTGCTTATTTTCCTTAATTCAAGGTCCAATTTTAAATGTCATTTATATTTTCTTAGTTTTTGAAGGTAACTTTACGTACCAACGTCATAAAGTTCAATTTTCAAGAAGAATTCTTTCGTGAAATGCTGCTACTGTTTTCAACCATCCAGCGACTGTATTGGCTTGTTCAAACGGCTCAAGTTGACTAGTTTTAAGTTACTGTTTGTCGTTCACACTTGATACAGTATAAGTTTTGTGGCTGTTTTGTTCGCAGTTACTTTTTTTGAACTAAAAAAATTTAATGAATCCTGTATTTAATTTTTTTAATAAATTTACATTGCAACTTTTTAACTTTAAAACGAACTTGCCATTACGTGCGAAAATAAGTTACCTTTACTAAATCATTTACCAACTTGAATCGTGTAAAGCAGCCATAGGAGCTTTTACACACTTGCCCATTTCGCTGTTGACTTTGTATAAATCTTAGATTTACATTAATTATTTTGTTTAATAATTGATACCATACACGAGCATTTACACTGGCATTTTAAATCATAATTTTTAAAAACTATGATATAGTTTAAAATAACAATTGGAAAACACTTGTGTTAGTGAGTTAAACTCCCTTTTTTATTTATAAAAAGGTTTAATCATTCGAATGCTTTGTCTCTTTTTTTCAAACGTAATTCTTTATTTGAAAGAAAGTGACAACATACAGTGTAGTTATTTAACGGTAACATAACCTTAAAATTTAATGTTTGAATATTTTTTTGTTATTATGCAGTAAAACATGTATCTTACACAAGTTTAAATACGACTATGAATAGGTAAAGTGATGTCTAAAGAAAATTCTATTAACAATTAAAAAATATAAGAATAAATTATTATATCTTATGTTATTTGGAATGACATGAATATTTATATAATAAAATATGATACATTTATAATATATAATCAGGTTGCATTGATATGTTAATGTTTTGCAAAATATAATTTATACTCTGTGTCTAAACCGGGACACCAAAGAGGACTAGTGGCGCCCCCAGTCGGCACTATTTTAATCTACATTAATGGACTATATGTCTTTTATATTTACACCAAATTGTATAGCAATATAGCGTCACTAACCGAGAATCGAACGGAAGACCAATGAGTATTATAGCCTCAAAAATGATGTAAATAATCGATTAATTATGGAAAACTATTTTTTATTAGAGGTAGATGATGCAAATTTTAAAATAGAAAAGTGAAAATATAATTTTATTGAAAACATGTTGTATGTTAAAAAAGTATTGTTAATCTCGAAATCTGGATTTTGTACATTCGAAATGCCATTTTTTATCTCTAAAAGTAAAGTTTTACATTAAACATTCTGAAATAGTAATTATGACATTAGATTTTTTAATTTAAAAACAATCATAAATTAATTTTAAATAGATTTTTAATTTGCGCTATCATTTTTCATATTTGTTGCGTTTCGTGTGTTTTTGTAGCAAGCATGTTTTTAGTTTGCCTTGCCTGTTCCCCGGCCTTGAATTAAATAAAGGCTTCATAACAAAAAATTAATAAAGTAGTCCACTTTTTTATAATGATCGTTTAAGGTGTCTTTATCGTAAATAAAACAATCACATTCCTTCAAATACCAACTAAATTACTAACAAACGTGATTGCGGAGAGGAAATCAGTCTTTAGAGGCCATCTTCTAAAGATTGATTTTCTTCTGCAAGACAGCATAATTACGTAGAGTTGAACATTTCAGCTTCATCATCATTATATCCGCCATTATGTGTCCACTGCTGGACATAGGCCTCTCTCATAGACTGCCACAAGGAACGGTCCTGAGCCACCTGTATCCACTGACTCGTTTAACGTTCTAACTTATTGTTTTATAATTATGAAAATGTCTGTATATATGCTAATTAAAAATTTGTGCAAATACACCTATATGTAATTCTACCCTACGAAATATATTTCTAAAAAAAATTATACAACTATACTATGTCGATTCTGTGCTTTCGTTTATAAAATAATAGATTGTATATTTAATCTATTCGATATAGGAATCATATAACAAATTATTAATTTATTTTTTACTTCAATAAATTTTATTTTTTGAAACTTATCTTCATTCTTTAACTATGTTTATATGTATAGATATAATAGTTATTTTATAAACTTTATATTGTCGTTTCTAACAATTGTTTCGACCATCCGGATGTCTTCTTCAGGGCATACGGCGCTTTACGTCGACATAATAAATTTATGTCGTAATATAGCATTATCGTCTCTTACCACTGCTATCTTTTTCCCCAGTGAAGTATTTAGGGACTCTGCAAGCTGCAGTCCGCAGGGCGACGGAAAGACAGTGCGACGTAAAGCGCCGTACGCCTACTGAAGACTACCGGATGAAGTGGAAACAATTGTCGGAAACGACAAACACAGTACGTTCATAAAGCTCCCATTATACATATGTATGTATTTATTTAGAGTTTAATAAAATTAATACTTTATTTTTAATTAATAAAAAAAATATATGATTAAAATTGAAATGTCTAATATAACGCGGCGACATAAATCAGTAAAACGTTTGGTAACATTCGAAACTTTGGTGTTTTATATATATATATATATATATATATATATATATATATATATATATATATATATATATATATATATATATATATATATAAATATTATGCTATATTTGTAAATATAAATAATTGTATTTCGTTGATAAAAATATCAAATAATTTAATATGTTCATAATTTTCTTTTTTTTTTTTGTATATTTTATTTTGTTACGAAGCGACATCAAAATATAATTTTTAATATAAAATACAAAATATGGTACTTATATAATTATGTATAAATATGCATATTATCGGTGTGTTTATTGAAAATAAATAAATAAAAAAAGTGTAATTTTTTGTTAAAACATGAATGTTTGAGGACTGCATAATTTTCATAGCTGCATGAAACGTTTGATTCTTATACATCTGATCACTCAGAGTTATACTTATATACAGGGTTGAACCGTAATCGTTGGCCGTACGTAAAACAAACAATCTATCCATGTTATAGAACATATGAGGAGAGAAATATTGTAAATAGAAATACAATATTGACAAGAAGTTTGGAGCCTCCATACTAATTCACTTAAATAACAGTTCTCTCTTTCTCTCTCTCTCTGTGCGTGTGCGAGTGTGTGTACGTGTGTGTGCGTTCATGTATGTGTGTGTGCAGCACGTGCTGTGTGCGAGGTTAAAATGTTCTTATAATTTTTCGATCTTTGGTGACAATCTTTAGTTTCACTCGTAGAATACGTCCTTCAAAAACGCTAACGCTTCCACCCTGTATATAAGAACAAGAAAGGCTGGCCTTTCAGAGATAAAATCGAGAACATGTTACACTATTATTATTTATTATATTATTACGTATATTAGGTGGTTAACAAACAAAATACTGTTTTTAATTACCTTTTTCGATTGTAGGGAAGTCGTGGTCAATCCACGTTTGTCTTACGATTAGTGATTTACAAAACACATCTAAGTGTTTTAATATTTTTAAATCTAAAGCAATGGGATCGTTTCTGAAGCTCCAATCTTTAAATATGAAACAAAAATTTTACCTTGAATTAAAAAAAATACATCGTAATTTATCGATCGATAACCGATTAACCGGTAACCTTTTCATCAGATCTGTTTACCACTTTGAGTTGTATTAAAAATATACAAAATATATATATACATATATATATATATATATATATATATATATATATACAATGATTCAAATGTATATAGAAACAGAAGTACTTTCAAGTTCTAGGTGATTCGTTTAACAATATTTTTTTATACAACTTAGAATGGCAAATACCTGATGGAAAGTGGTGACTGTCGCTTATAGACTAGCCATTTTAGAGACAAATTTAGGAAACGTTTCATAATCTACCCCATTGGTATATTTTAACGTCCCACTGCTGGGAAATTTTGAAAAATCATACAATACACAATTTTCATCTATGGGGCTTATAAGGTGAGTGTATAAAATTGTATGTATATTTTACAATCATTAATAAACGAAAAATAAATACCATTGGATATGTAGCACAGCGCCATCTGGTCTTAAACTGAGTAAACATATACACGTACTATGGATTAGACTTAGACGAAACCACTATATAAGGTTTATTTGTCTTAAAAATCATTATACCATATATATACACCAGAGAGGAGTACCTCTACCCATTTCCACCCACGGATAAAATGACCACGCCTCACCAAGAAAATGATGAATGAATTTATATCCAGAGACCCGGGGGTAGCTGCCCCCTGAGTTGAAACCAGGGTAAAGGGGGATTCCCTAAGGTCCCCACCAATCGGCAGTATGAAGAGCGTCGTCGATTATATATATATATATATATATATATATATATATATATATATATATATATATATATATATATATATATATATATATATATATATATACAACTTAGAATGGCAAACAAGCTGACGGAAAGTGTCGCCTATAGACATGAGCAGTACCATGGACATAACAGAGTATACTGTTTCGCCCATAATACCCCCCACGCGTTGCCATTCCTGAGGACTCAGATGTTATTCTTCTGAACCCTGTAAATTCACGCCATATCCCACCTTTCAAACCGAAACACAGCCATGCAAACACAACTGCTTCACGGTTGAAACACGAATGGGACAGAGGTATCCAAGCAATCGACTTTTGTACAAAGTCTGGTAAATTTTTGAATCTAATCATTTATCTATTTTTGAATATTTTATAACTCTTTTATTTAATATTATTTTTTGGATAACAGACTTGTAACATATTCGTTACTAGACCAGTATATAGTTATTGTAACTAAATACTAATAGATATTGCTGTATATTACCCATCACTATTGCTTAAGTCCGAATTAGACAGCGCTGTGGTGCATATAGTTTTATTTATTTATTACACAAACATACGACACGTTACTGGCCATAAATATTAAAAATACACAGACGTCATTTCCCATAGATAAAAAAAAAACTAAACTTGACAGTATAAGGCTGCATCCACACTGTAATACTGGCCCTCTATTCGCTTTCACTGACCATATCAGGGGCGGGTCGAGGGCGGTACTACAGTGTGGACCTGACCTAATAGCCCCTTACCAATTACTCACTCATTCATATGACGCAAATGATAGTATGCGGTGAAGCAACCCAGCAGAGGATGGAGTAACTCTTAAGGTGAATTCTCGTCCACTTCCCGTATCACTGTGTCGGACTCCCAGCGCGCTCTTTCGGCTAACATTGCTTGAAGCGTCTGCGATACAAAAACATTTCAGTGGCTTAACGGATGGTAATGGAATGGTAACCCCGCCTGCGCTAACGGTATACGCTGATGGGGCACCAGTGAGGGATGACAGGTAAGTATGGAAACAGATCTGTTGGACATTGTTAGTAATACACTCTATCAGGTCGACCTTCACGTGGTTCTTTCTGGAAACTATCGTACTTTGACCAGAGGGAGACTTTGTACAAAAGTCGTTTGCTTGAGCACCTCTGTGCCATTCGTGTTTCTACCTTGAAGTTACTGTGTTTCGGTTTGAAGGGTGGGATATGGCGGTGAATTTACAGAGTACAGAGGAATAACACCTGAGTCCTTAGGAATGGCAACGCATGGGGGGTATCACGGGCGAAACAGTATACTCTGTTATGTCCATGGTACTGCTCATGTCTGTAGGCGACGGTTACCAATTTCCATCAGGTGGACCGTCAGCTTGTTTTTGTCATTCTAAGTTGTATAAAAAACATTAATAATACCTCAGGTTTGTCTATGACGACGATTCTGTTCTCGACTTTGGGCGCGAGTTCGCATGATTGCTGCTCTAAGTCGTCCAGCGACGCTCGACGGGTTAACCTGAAAACAATGTTTACTACAAAGGAGATTCCAATTGAAAAAAAAAAAAAACTATTTAAATAAATATTATATTTTTTTTTATTTGCAATGAATAAACTCAATACTTAATCGATTTTGAAAATTTTGCCGAGGATTTCCCAAGAGACTACAGCATGGGGTTCTTCAAAAGGGGGGTAAAGAGGTTTCTTCAGGGTCGGCAACGCGCGCGAAATATCCCTGGTATTGCAGGCGTTCATAGGCTACGGTAACCGCTTACCATCAGGTGGGCCGTATGCTTTTTTGCCACCTGTGGTATAAAAAAAATTTTGAAAATTCTTCACCTACATTACTAGCCAGTAACATGGACTGCATGGCCGTGTGGTCACGGCATAGAATAGGCCACCCCCTCCAACATCTCTTAAGCCTGACTGCGGTTACCAATCTACCTGCCAAGCGTGGTAACTACTAGAAAAACCCTCCAAGGGGAAGGCTTATGTTCAGCAGTTCTTATATAATGACAATGGACTGCATATATTCAAAATTGGAAAAGTTAAAGATGTGCAGCACCCACTCATGGTATGTGATAGGAACCGAAGGGTTTCAACCGTGAAGCAGTTGTAATTTTTCACGCGCCATAATGTTTCTTTGTTTTTTTTTTTTCAATAAACAGCTTTCTATTTGCAAGCCAGTTCGAAATTTAAATAAAACCTTTTATTAGTTACCTCCTTGGTCGCCATGTTTCGAAGTAAAAGGTCATTCCATTTTTAAATTACAGGACAGATATGAGTTTACATAGTAATTTATCTGGCCGCAAAACACGACAGATATGGATTTTCATACAACTTTTGCCGGCCGCTGCCCACATGTATCTAGTTAGTACGACAATTTTGATTTATCTCGAAGAACATTGTTAAAATAATGCTCACATTTCCAAGCATGTTTGAGAAAATAATATTTCTTTTTAAAATGAACACTTCCGTATGAATGGTGTAAAGTGAGTGTACCTATGATGGGTGACGTGATGTGTTGGTTCCACAGCAGCTGACGAAGCCCTCCTCAGCGGAGGTGGACCATCCAGCTCGCTGCCGTCCAGCATCTTCACTAGACTGTGCCTGGTGATAAATAGGATAATGAATTAACATGCATATCCATCACGCCTACCTCCTGTTGGGGTATGCAGAAACAAAAGAACGCCAAATGTTTCAATTCAAACAGACCTCTTTTGCTACCCCTACATTCATACACGCTCGCCGGTTACAGGTACTTTTAATTAGGCCCTTCTTCAGCACGTCGCCTATTTGGTCGACATACGCCCGTCTAGGGCGGCCCCTACCGACATCTCCATTTATTCATGCTCAATAAACCCTTTTCGTAATTTTTCTTTCATCCATTCTCTCCAAAAGCCAAACCAATGCAAACTTTTTTTAATCGTATTATTTTTCTGTTACGCTTTAACCAGACATAATTTTATATAATTCTTCTCCATCCTAAGGTTGCCTGCAAGAGATCGCTATTTAGCGATAAGACCACCAATTGTTGCCTCTTTATCTTGCTTTTATGTAATTAAGTTTAAGTAATTAATTATTCATGTACTTATAGTACAAACAAATTATTTATTAATTATTGATTAATTTGTGAATTATTTTTTGTTTTATTAATTACGTATTACTTAATTATTAAAGTATTAAATATTGATTAATTAATTAATTAATTTATTTATTTATTTATTCATTAGTACAAATATGTTATTTATTGGCGTATTTAATGCTTTTATTGATTTAAATTTAATAATTATTTTATAATTAATTTTTGTTTTCTTAATTACTTATTAATAAATTTATTAATATATTTCAATAATTAGTTTGATGGTACTGTAAGTAAAATCATCATCGCGATATTTGATAATGATGCAGTTACAATTTTGATGATGATGAATTTGACAAAGAGTTTGATGAGAAGGATGGTTTTTCTGATGACGTTTACCTCCTGCTGAGCGTGACGAGTGACTGCCTGTGCTTCGAGGGCCGCGACTTGCCGCTCCTCACGTTGATCGCGGCGAAATGGTTCTGTATGGCCATGCCGATTTCAGGGCACATGTCCTCTGATATCTGAACAAATATACAAATAAACGACATCATCATTTTAGGCCATCATCTGTCCACTCCTGGACATACACTTCCTCCTATTAAGGGGTTAATTATTGTTGAATTTGTATAAATATACTGTACTGTATTTTTTTTATACAACTTAGAATGGCAAACAAGCTGACGGCCCACCTGATGGAAAGTGGTAACCGTCCCCTATAGACATGAGCAGTACCATGGACATAATAGAGTATACTGTTTCGCCCATGATACCCCCCATGCGTTGCCATTCCTAAGGACTCAGATGTTATTCCTCTGTACCCAGTAAATTCACGCCATATCCCACCCTTCAAACCGAAACACAGCTATGCAAACACAACTGCTTCACGGTAGAAATACGAATGGGACAGAGGTACCCAAGCAATCGACTTTTGTACAAAGTCTCCCTCTGATGTAATTGTACCTCATTGCTAGCAATATTCGCCGTGTGGCATCGGCGTATAGAATAGGCCACCCCTTCCTTTCCCATGGGTGTCGTAATAGTCGACTGAAAGACGGCGAGGGATGCACAGCAACCTCTCTCTTAAAACATTTCTATAGCCTAACTACGGTTGCCAATCCGCCTGCCAATTGTGGTAACTACTGGCAACACCTGAGGGGTTTTGTCTGTAGTTGGCATGCTTGGGGAGGCTTGTGTTGAGAAGTGAAGAGATAAAAGCTGATATGATGACTAGCAATATATCCTATCAGGTCAACTACCACGTGGTTACTCTGGAAACCATCGTGGTTAAATAATGTTGAATTTGTCACGATGGGCCAACTAACCTGGCTTTATCTTCACCTATCATCTATCACTGGTACCCCGCCAGCGTATACCGATAGCGCAGGCGGAGTTACCATTCCATTTTCACCCATTAAAAAACCCTGCTTTGTTTTTTTTCTTTTTTATTTCATTAGCATAAGAATACATTAAAAAAAAGCTATGGATTTTTTAGTACCACTTAAACCTCTTGGGCTTGTGTGTGATACATACATTGTACATTTCGTTCTCAAATGTCAATATTTACATTAATATTCTACTGTTTTAGCAAGGTTGCACAGTAAATAAGCTTTCAGTTTAAACTTTATGCTTTTAACAGTGATATTGCTTCGCAAGTCGGTAGGTAGAGCATTTACTAACGCCGTATGAGGCAGACGCTCGTTCGCTCGCCATAACAGTTTTTTGCTCGAGTAGTGACTAGCTTGTTTTGCGCGTCGAAGCATGTATATATAGCATGATTTATTTTTGTTTAAATTTCCTGCTTAAAGAATTGTTCTTTGAGGAGGCGATATTTTACTAGATGGCCAACTCACCAGCACTTTACACTTGGGCAGCATGGTGAAGCCGTCGTTCCCGTTGTACAGGTACTGTTTGATCGCGAGCCGATATCGCTGATCCCGCTGCAGGTACTCGTCCCCTATCTTGACCACTTGTTCGGCGACTCGCTCGCCAGCCGCCTTGGTGGGATCGAAGGCGAACGATATTCCAGCCACCTGAATTTTCGTTTAGTTATTGGTTACTATTTATTAATTTACTTCCACGTTTACCAGAGAGAGACTTTGTACAAAAGTCGATTGCTTGGGTACCTCTGTTCCATTCGTGTTTCTACCGTGAAGCAGTTGTGTTTGCATGGCTGTGTTTCGGTTTGAAGGGCGTTATGGCGTGAATTTACAGGATACAGAGGAATAACACCTAAATTCTCAGAAATGGCAACGCATGGGGGGTATCATGGGCGAAACAGTATACTCTGTTATGTCCATGGTACTGCTCATGTCTATAGGCGACGGTTACTACTTTCCATCAGGTGGGCCGTCAGCTTGTTTGCCATTCTAAGTCGTATAAAAAAAAACCCTCAGGCTGTGGAATGACCTTCCTACCGAGGTTTTCCTTGAGACTACAGTGGAGTGAGGGGGGGGGAGGTCCAACACTACACTGCTGTTACACACTATAGGTATATATGTTTCAATAAGGCATAAACACACTTGTGGAAACCGGCCCTCGAGACTCGGGTACTTGCTGACAGCATTCTCCAGCATTTGCAGGATGACAGAACCACTCGCTTCCACCACCACTAGCGGGTCCCTCATGGGTATTATGGTCGACAGGTCCCGTAGAGTGAAGTCCCCAGACGGGTGAACCTGGAAACAAGATTATTACTTCATGTTCAGTTCATTTTTTTATACTTTATAATCTTCCATATTAGTCATCAATCGCCGACCGTTATTTAGTCCACGCACATGTTGCGACACATGTTTCGCCCCTATACAAGGATGGATAGAAGGACTATCAAATATTTAATATTGATAAAAACTGCAACCAATACCAAATTGTGAAAATTGTGTTCAACCTTGACTGTAAAAAAATACCTTACCTGATCAGACCTGAAGGTGCCAGAGTTGAGGAGCACTAGGTCGGCACCTGTCGCCGCTAGCAGCACGTCGCACACCCAGTTGCCAAGGTTGCACTCCTGGCGGCGGATACACGAGAACCGGCCCTCGAGCGGCACGCAGAACTTGCCAAGCACTTCGTCCATCTTGCCTTCTATCATTGCTGTTTACAAACATCATCATTGTTATTATTTATGTATGCTTTACTCACGTTTTATATTCGGGAATAGATAGATAGATAATTTATTTGCATTACTTACTTACAGCACACAAATTACAACATAGATATTAAAAAAAAGCCGATGAAGCCGGGATGGCCGACTAGTTTCGAACTCAATGGGAGCCTTATTCATGCGCGCAGTTCACGTCCGTATCGCGAGCAGTACTGCGCGACCAGCTGTTTGTCACTGCGCGTGCGCAGCCGACGACATTATTTATTAGTCAACAATCGTTTCAAATTAATATTATTTTTCAAGTTTGGATGTTTTGTATTTCCGCCTCCAGATATATTTTTTTATACCACTGAAGTGGCAAATAAGCTTACGGTCCCCTTGATGGTAAGCGGTTACCGTAGCCTATGAACGCCTACAATACCAGGGGCATTACGCGCGCGTTGCCGATCCTGAAGAAACCTCTTTATACCTTTTTTTGAAGAACCCCATGCTGTTGTCTCTTGGAAAAACGAACTTGCCTGGTTTACTATCTTAGTGGTATAAAAAAGCCTAATTTTATAATATATCATATGCGCCATATCCCACCGTTCAAACCGAAACATAGCCATGTAAATACAACTGCTTCACGGTAGAAACACGAATGGAACAGAGGTACCCAAGCAATCGACTTTTGTACAATATCTTCCTCTGGTTTACCACCTTAGTGGTATAAAAAAAGTCTAAATGTCATGAAGCCATTACATATTAGAAGAATATTTTAGTTATTAATATTATATATATAAGATTTTCAGTTTATTAAAGCCTAAAATTCTAGCGAATTATACTTTAATTCTTATTAACTACTTAATTTTTTTTTAATGGCTGATAATGTAATGGTAACCCCACCCGCGCTATCGGTATACACCGGCGGGGCAGTGAAGGATGATAGGTGAGGATGAAGCGGGTCAGTTAGCCCATCGTGACGAATTCAACGAGAATTGTTCACGATGGTTTCCAAGGGGTACCATGTGGAGGCCGACCCAATAGGGAACATTGCTAGCAATGGGGCTGTCAAACTCAATGGAGTTTGACAATGGAGTAACAATGGTTAACAATTCCTTTCCCCCTATTATGAATATTACACTAAAGACATACACACCGGAGTACTTCTCGACCTTCGCCTTCAACACCTGGTCTTCAGCATACGAGCTGGAGACGGGCACGTCGGCGATATCCACACGAATAGACTCGGCGGCGAAGCTTATACTTATTTTGGAGAACTGACGGAAGTCTGTACCGCTTTTTACTATGTATTTATTGTTTACCTGAAAATATATATCATATAAAATTTGCTGTTTGAATTTTTTTTTATACAACTTAGAATGGCAAACAAACTGATGGCCCACCTGATGGAAAGCAGTAACCGCTATCTGTAGACATGAGCAGTACCATGGACATAACCGAGTATACTGTTTCGCCCGTGATACCCCCCATGCGTTGCCATTCCTGAGGAATCAGGTATATCTGTACAGAGGAATATCTGTACCCTGTAAATTCACGCCATATCCCACCCTTCAAACCGAAACACAGCCATGCAAACACAACTGCACAGTGAGACTTTGATACAAAAGTCGATTTTGTACAAGGTTTCCCTCTGTCCCATGTGTGTTAAAGAATATTATAAACATGAAAGTGAGCTTGTTTGTTAACCCATAGATAAATAAATAGATATATAATTAATTTAAAGGCCAGTACAAAATAGATACATACGAAAAAAAAAAGGATTTTTTTTATATATCACATCATCATGTCCCTCAAATGGCAACACATGGGGGGACAGTGTAGATATCATGGAGAGAAACAGTAGTTACCTGTTATGTCCATGGTACAGCTCGATGTCTAGAGAGACGTTGTTACCACTTTCCATCGAGTGGACCGTTAGCTTGTTTGCCATTCTAAGTTAAGTTAAAAAGGATAATACAAATAAGCTATATAATATAGTACAGCTTACCTCTAACACTTCATACACGTGATCGTGTCCACCCAGTATAAGGTCGATCTCTGTGCAGCCTTCAGCTAGCTTTATGTCGTTTGGGGTCCTCATGTGGGTCAGTGCTATTACGTATTCACAACCCTAAAATGTTTGTCATTTTTTTAATTGTTTTACAATTAAAAAATACTTACATGTTTTATTGTTTTATTTTTCAAATCACTAAAATACAGGGGGGAAAGAGATTGTTAGTAATGGAGACTGAGAATCCCATTACTAGCAATATACCCAACTAGGTCGACCTCTTCGCGGTTCCCTAAACTATCATGGTTAATTCCTGATGAATTCATCATGATGGGCTAACTGGCCTGTTTTCATTCTCATCTATCACCCTTCACTGGTGCTCCGCCAGCGTATCCCGTTAGCGCAGGCGGGGTTACTATACCATTTTCACCCATCATAACAATCACTAAAATACATAAACATGTGTTTATAATTAAACAGTTATATTTTAATACCACATTATTTAGCTATTATTTACAATCTTAAAGTCGTGTTTGCTTTTTTCTTTAATTTACAATTCAAACCACACTTTTATATTTTTTAATTGGGAAATAACCACACTTTTATATTTTTTAAATATTTTCAAGTATAAAATACTTGTTTTTGAATTATTCAAAAGTTGAAGGTAGTTGCAACAGTTGTTAACTGTTCATTGCACAACAAAGCCTCCCCTATAAGAGGGCTTTTGCCAGTAGTTGCCACTTTTGGCAGACAGGTTGGCAACCGCAGTTAGGCTTTGGTAATATCTTAAGAGGGACGCTGCTGCCCATCCCTCGACCATTCGAAATTCCCTTAATCGTCCCTTACGACACCCACGGGAAAGTAAGCGGTGGCCTATATATAGAGGCGGTGAAAAGTTAAAGGTATGGAGCCATAACATCTTAGATCGCAGACAATGGTGTTGCATAAAGTGTCATGGGTATCACGGTGTACTCTGTGACAAAGATAGTGTTATTTATGACTCTAGTTACCAATTACCATTTTCCAATAGTTGGGTCATCACCTTGTCATTCCATTTTCCATAAAATAATCCCTTTATGGGATAAGTCCGCCATTGTATATTAAATCATTTACCAGTATTTAATCTGAGTTAGGAACAATAAAGATTTTACAATACAATACAATAATTCACAGAACATTATTTTTTACATTACTATCCAAAAATACATCATCAGCCGTCAATTTGACAAAGCTTAACAGCCTTCTCCATAAGGGAGTTTTGCCAGTAGTTGCCACGCTTGACAGGCGTGTTGGCAACCGCAGTTAGGCTTTTAGAGATGTTTTAAGAAGGACGCTGCTGCCCATCCCTCTACTATTAAGTTCTCTTAGTCGCTTCTTACGATACCCACAGGAAAAGAAGGGGTGGCCTATTCTATGCCGGGACCACTAGGCTACTATTTATTCCGGGTCGATCAAGATGTCCCAGACATGTAAAATTGCTTGTAGTTAGTTATTTATATATTTTTTAAGCAACATTGAATGGTGAACAAGCTGACAGCCCACCTGATGGTGATGCAAACCGTCGCCCATAGACATGAACAGTGACACTGACATAACAAAATATACTGTGTCGCCCACGATAAAATAATAATAATTTGTGGGTAAGTACAGGATCTAGAAACTTTTACTGGTCCTTCGGGGCCAAATATGTAAGCACGTCTTGTTATAATTTAGTTTACCTCCTGTTTTAATTGTGAAGCCAACTTCGTGCCCGCTTGTAAGAAGTCAATAAATGTGACCTCCTCTGGATTTATTGTTGCTAAGGTCTCTAGCCATTCCTGTAAACATAAAAAGTTTATATACAAAAATCCCGTGGCTCAAGACGTTCGTCATGCTAATTTTCGAAACCACTTTACCAATTTTGTAACGTGTATTGTTTCTTCCAACTTGAGATAGGATAATGGTTTATTATTTCTTGTAATTATTTATATTTATAATAAGTTTACTGTTGTAATCTTTTGGAGGAAACAATAAAAGTATCTATCTATCTATCTATTTTACAAGTAAAAATGAGTCAAAATAACGTTAGTTAAGTCAGCTAGATATGCTATAAATCGATCACTCATTGTCCATTGTCGAATACAGGACTTGATTACACTGTGTCATAAAGAACAATGGTTTTATTTTTAATGTATAATTTAAGATTTAGTAGATGTAGAACATACAAAAAGACCGACATCAATTAAGGCAAAAACAGTTATTTTTATTAAACAACTAAATTACCAAATTGATTTTGTGTAAAATTTTTATGACACCAATTTATAAATATATCTTTTTAGATAAAAAAAAAAAATAAATTCCAAATCGGTTTACAACTGACGGAGTTATGAGGTAATAAATATAAAAAATATATACACAACCGAATTAAATACCATCTTCTTTTCAAAGTCGGTTGAAAATAATAGTAAAACGCCATAAAACAATGGTATTTTAAGAGGATCTGAGGATACCGCAAAACTGATTAGATTTCATAACTTGTAAAAATTTAAACATAATAAAAAATACCACGTCACCTGCCCACTTCTATCTGTTCTCCTTTAACCAAAGGTTGTCTGTAAGAGATTACCCTAGCGATAAGACCGCCTTTTGTACCTTTACGTGTATATTTCAATATGTATTTATGTTGCTGTATTTCACTTGAATTATTCACTTGTCATTGTATATTTTTATTTATGGTGCAATAAAGACTTAAATAAATAAATAAATAAATAAAAAATAACTTTACATATTTCTAAATAGTATTTATCAATATCTCGTCTATCTCATCTCACACATACATACACTTATACATTTCCTATTCATATGTCATACATACACACGCACACACCCACACACAACACACATTTCCATCATACACAATTCACTGAACCCATAAATTATTGTTTCTGTAAAACTACGGGCTCCCTTGTAATTTATGTTTTTATACTTTGTTTCATATTATTTATTTCACTAAAAATGTAATACAACAATTTATGAAAGAGGGAAGTAACTCCTGAAACACAGGTTTTTTCATACCTACCACGGGAGTTAGGGACTTCAAACCATATTGTAACAAAGAGTGAAAGATTTATTAATTATTTAATTAAAAAAAAAAAACTAAAAACCATATTAAATAATTTTGAAATGAAATTGTAAAAAAAACCCTTACAAATTATTAAAATTAAAATACTAGTTTATAACTGATAGATTAACATGCAATTTATTCTGTGATACGATTAAGGAAAATAGTAAATCACTTTTTCGATAATGCTTCGGAAATTTGAATAAAGTTTTCGAATATTTACATAATAGAATGCACATGTTGCCACATTTCGGCATGAACGCACATAACAAATAGCTGTTGTGTTTGCATGGCTGTGTTTCGATTTGAAGGGTGGGATATGGCAGTGAATTTACAGGGTACAGAGGAATAACACCTGAGTCCTCAGGAATGGCAACGCATGCGGGGTATCATGGGCGAAACTGTTATGTCCATGGTACTGCTCATGTCTATAGGCGATGGTTACCACTTTCCATCAGGTGGGCCGTCAGCTTGTTTGCCATTCTAAGTTATATAAAAAAAATGTAACAACGGTAACCAATTCAGTTGAATAGTTACTAGAACCGCGGGGAGGTTAACCTGATAGGGTGTATTTTTAATGGGTGATAATGGTAACCCCGTCTGCGCTATCGGTATACAATGGCGGGGCACCAGTGACAGATGACTGATGAGGATGAAAGCAGGTCAGTTAGCCCATCCTGATCTCTCCTGAACTAGAATTAGTCATGATGGTTTCGAGGGGGAACCACGTGGAGGACGAGCTGACAGGGTATATTTTTATATATATACCCTGATAGAGTATATAACAACCCCTTTCCCCCGATAGGGTGTATTGCTAGCAATGGAGTTATTACTCCCCATTATTAACAATCCCTTCTCCCCCCTGTCCACCATGTCTGACATAATTCAACGATTGCTATTGGAGACTGCGCCTGCTCTTACCTGTTCTACGAGGCCTATTAATCCTATTTTGTGGCCATTACATAGCAACGCATGTGTGATCTTCCCGTCGCCGAGTGGTCGGCCAGTTTCGTTGTCTATCACATTGGACATGAGCCACGGGAAGTTGCACTGAGAGACTAGGCCTGATAATACTTCTAAACCGAAATCTGTAACAAAATATTAATTAAAAAGGTACAAATAAACAAGAATCATACGCTCATAAAAACTTTCAAATCTCTAATGAAAAAATTATTGTAGATCATGTGTATGAAGGTAAACTAAACAATGCTAATCTTATCATTGGTTTGATTATAAATTACAAACTCCAGAGGGAGACTTTGTAAAGTCGTTTGCTCGGGTACCTCTGTTCCATTAGTGTTTCTACCGTGAAGCAGTTGTGTTTGCATGGCTGTGTTTCGGTTTGAAAGGTGGGATATAGCGTGAATTTACAGGGTATAAAGGAATAACGCCTGAGTCCTCAGGAATGGCAACGCATGGGGGGTATCATGGGCGAAACAGTATACTTTGTTGTGTCCATGGTACTGCTCATGTCTATAGGCGACGGTTACCACTTTCCATCAGGTGGTCCGTCAGCTTGTTTGCCATTCTAAGTTGTATAAAAAAAAAACTCCGCGGTACAACGTTTGTTCTTACTTTTGATAGTCCAATTGCTTTTGTATGAAATATCTATAAATATATAATGTACCTACTAGAGTGCCGCGGCATCCTTGCAATCTATTTAAAAATGCAGCTTGCAGAACAAATTTGGGCCGCGAATCACCTATCGTCCGCATAACGCGTCTGTATAACGACATTGTAAAAACCAAGCCTGAACTTGATATTCACAACTATTGTCACTCCGTGTTCATGGCTAAATTAAAATGTTGATGTACCTCGCCATTGCATTATATTTATTTATAATTTAAAATAATTTAATTACAATTTCCATTATTTATATTATGTTATTATTCATATTGTTAATATCTTTACTCATATAATGACATTTAATAATTTAATTCTATTTTAATGTTTATCAAACACAAGGCACGCTGTGGTCGCTTATAAATGTAAGAACAGTTAGATCTAATTCACCAGTGTATTGTATTGAAATGTTTCGATGTATCTTATGTTGGTAATCCTATAAATAAATAAATAAATATATACAATGAGTCGTGCCGCTGGATCTGCTTATGGATATGGTGGCTTTAGTTGCTAGTTGTTAAGCATTTAATAATAGTTGTAAGCTATATATATTTCTCCGTATTTATTGGTATAAATGTATCAATATATCCTTTTTTTTTATGGTTTGCGGTACAGTATTTAAGGCATCCCGTCCTCGCTATTGGATACGGGTGACGGAATGCCTATACAAGAGGGTACATGGTGGGCGCAGTTTAGACGCAATATTTGAGGAGCATTAGGAAGGTAGTATATGCTGTGTTTGCCCATCAAAAATTTTTACGTTTAGTTCTAAGCTTCATAGTTGTATATATATTTACATTATTTTGTGAAAACAATTGTTGGTGAACCTAAATAAATAAATAAATATACTGACCGCTACTGGCATTTCTGATGTATTTACCCTCGTGTAAATATACTTGTGAGTGTGTATGTTTTGCCATACACATCAGTAAGATAAGATATGAATTATTTAATTTAATTTAATGCCTAGACGCTAGCTATATTTTTTGTTAATTTTTAAATTTATATATTTTATATACATATATATTAATTAATAAAAAGTAGCCTATGTCCATCCTAAACAATACTTTTATACTATGTCACAAACAGTCATGAAGACTGTTTGTTAAGCCGTCAAAGTGCACTAGTTATATCCCGCGGTTTTGTTAGCGTGAATCGTTATAATAAACGCCTTACTGTACTTATACAATTGTATCGTTGTGTTTGTAAATTGTCTTGTTTATTTCCTATATTGTATAATGCAAATAAAGTTTACTCATTCATTCATTCAATAAATAACATATAAGTTAAGATGTAAACCAATGCATGTACCAAATTTCATTCATATCCGTTCAGAAGTGTTTGTGTGAAAGTGATAATAAAATATCCATAAATTCAAACATCATCAAAAATTGCTCGGTTCATAACGGGATAGGCAGATAGACAATAGAGGTAACTTACCAAAATCATGATTCCCAAATACGGCGCAGTGCGTGCCTATTTCATTTAATACTGGTACCATTTGTTCGCCTTTCGTGAACGTGCTCACTGCAAATAAAATAACACTATATAGCTAGATATTACCACGCGACGTCGTCTGCGTAACCGGGAACGAAAATACTCTATGCCCTTTTCCATCTCATATAGTAAATGTACTTATCAAGTTTAACAAAGATTAGTTAAACCGTTAAAATGCCATGAGGCAACAATTAAGAAAACTGACTTTTACATTTATGTATCATTCAAAAATTACTGCACCAAATTGGATGCGGTTTCCGCGGTTGTATTCGTGAAGGTCTTTTAATCCTCGCCAATCATCCCTCACTGGTGCCCCGCCAGTGTATATTGATAGCGCAGGCGGGGACACTATTTCATTGTCACCCATTAAAAAAAATATGGCGTATTAATAATAAAACCTTAAATTATATAGATAGAATGTCTCCGTACAAATACTTCGAGAAAAGCGTATCAACTTTTTCATACGGCGTGAATTTACAGGATACAGAGGAATAACACCTGAGTCCTCAGGAATGGCAACGCATGCGGGGGGTATCATGGGCAAAACAGTATACTCTGTTATGTCCATGGTACTGCTCATGTCTATAGGCAACGATTACCACTTTCCATCAGGTGGGCAGTCAGCTTGTTTGCCATTTTAAGTTGTATAAAAAAAAAGGTACTTACACATGCTCGGTGAGAAAGCGTCTCCGCTGAATAGAATTAAGGGGTTCAGGTGTTGTAATGCCTTCACGGCAGTCGAGAACCTCAGCGCTCCACCGACGGGTTCCGTATCTGGAATAAACAAATCTATTTATAAACATATCTAAAATTGACTTTTATATAATTGTATTAATTTTTTTTTATACAACTTAGAATGTCAAACAAGCTGACGGCCCACCTGATGGAAAGTGGTAATCGTTGCCTATAGACATGAGCAGTACCATGGACATAACAGAGTATATTGTTTTGCCCATGATACCCCCCGCATGCGTTGCCATTCCTGAGGACTCAGGTGTTATTCCTCTGTACCGTGTAAATTCACTGCCCTTCAAACCGAAACACAACCATGCAAACACAACTGCTTCACGGTTGAAACACGAATGGGACAGTACCTCTGTCTAATTCGCCCAAGCAATCGACTTTTGTACAAAGTCTCCCTCTGGTGAAAGGTAGGGGTGGCCCATTCTACGCCGGGACCACACGGCAAAGGGGAAGTTTAATTAATACTAACTGGTGGTTTGCTCAATATTGTAGACGTCATTGTAATGTATGATGACCACCTCGTCGCCCATGCCACGGCCGGAGAGCTGGCTGACGGCGCGCCGCCCCACTTGTCGCACCTCCAGTGATGCCTGCAAACAAAAACATAAGATTAGCAGGTCCTCTCTTTTTTAGACCTCTTCCCTTCATCAACGGCTCACTGTAATTTTTTTTAATGGATGATAATGGAATGGTAACCCCACCTGCGCTATCGGTATACACTGGCAAGGCACCAGTGAAGGATGATAAATGATGAAACAGATCACTTGACCCATCATCACGAATTCAACAATAAACCAATCACGATGGTTTCCAGGGGGAACCACGTGGAGGTCGACCTGGTAAGGTATATTGCTAGCAATGGGATTGCTAATCTCCATTATAACTAACAAGCCCTCCCCCCCCCTCAAGGTGAGATTAGCCCCTAATGTGACCGGCTATTTCAATGGTATTATTTTGTTTAATTCCGCTACCATTAGTATGTGTGCGAATGCTAACTGCCAACACTCGAATATCGACCACCACTATTACTACTAGAAGTTCCACAACCTTCTATATTATCCGACTGCCATTTTGTTTACACAAATTTTGCGACACGTGATTTACCGCCAAACGAGGCATTTTTAAAATATAATATCGCTGCTCGGAGCTTAGTAACCATAACCATTTGGTGCCTAAACTGTGGTCGATCTTTGAGTGTTGGCAGTCGCACACATACTAATGGTAGCGGAATTAAACAAAATAATTCTAATCAAATAACCAGTGATGTGGACTTCCGTTAAGTAACACTTAGTTCAGTAAAATATTTACCCCTTATATTTAAATGTATAAATAAGGTCCCAAATTCGATTCCCAATCAGGCCAATTTATGATATGAACTTTTTCGAATTGATCCGACTCTGGGTGTACTGAGTTGTGTTAACTGATGGTTTTTCATAGCACATGGTATTTAGAGATTCGAGCGATTGATGTAATTGTGTGGCACTTAATTATTAAAAAAAATATCTTGATAAATTTTATTTTTTTTAGGTAAATAAGAGGACATCATTGTAAACACAGTGAAGTATAATCGACGAGATCTTTCGTAAACACATTAGTTTGAAAATATTTGAATTTAGAACGCCAATTTTGTTTCGTGAAGATTTTTTAGTCCGCAAAAAAAAAAAAAAAAACTGTAGCTTTAATTGTCGCACGATAAACACGGGCCTTATATGAAAATCAATCTTATTGACTGCAAAAGAAATGTGAAAATCGGTTCAGAATTGGCGACGACTTATCATAGTTACAAAAAATATATGAATTAAGTAAGTAAAAGGAGGTTACACCTCCTTTTACAGTGAAAAAGATACTATGATTTCTTTTTAAGTATTAAATTAAACGAGGTAACAATTTTGTCGTATTATAAAATTCTTGTCGATCTAAAAAGAGTTGTAAGTGTATATAACAATAAAGTTTAATTTCACATGTTCGGATATTTTTCAAACGAATAACTCCACCATCACAAGCGTGTAGGGTGGGGCCCATAATTGGTTACCTTCTGTAACATCACGCCTATAATATATATGCGTGAAACATAGCTGGGGCGAGAGAAGGTCAATGTAATTTGTTCGCAACTCTCATCCGGTTGCGTAACAATGACAGAATATTATGTCTCCTTCGGTTGATCGGGAAGAAAAATGTTATTTAATAATTCAATATTATTTCTAGGGAAACTTACTGTCAATTTATCCTGATATGATCGCCACTAGTTTATAATGTAAATAAACGATCACATTCGATCGTTATTTAAAAAACAGCTCGTTATTTAAAAAAAAAATCTGCTTTAGTCTGTGGTGATTGGCGGGAAAATTATTTATCTTAACATTTTTGTCGTGCCGTTACGGAATTTGTTTAAAGTCATTCTTTGTCAGTAGACTGCCAATGACTATTTGCTGTTATGTTTTTATTATGTCTTTCACAGAGCTCTACATAAGGTTTCCATTAGTTTTTTTTTTTTTTTATAAAAATAGGATCGTTTGTAAAGGTACTTGGTCTTATTATAATGTGTAAACATGCAGAAATAATATTCTAGTACGTATATTAAAAAAATCAATACACAGAACCCGATCTAGGGGACGTTAGGCACATGTCTAGAGCGAAATGTGTTTACTGCAAAACATAGTCATCAGTTGTAAGGGGAGCGCGATATATTAATTTCTAGTCAAAGCGTCAAAACAGCTAGATCGGAAACTGTCAACACATTAAATTATTAAGGTAGCGTTTCGAAAACAGCGGTGACAACTGTTTGTAATTATATATAGTTTTTCTGGTAATATTTAAAAAATCAATATTATGCTTCAAATAATTAGAAAAATCATTTTTTTTTTTTAAAAGAATACACAGAAATGACATTAGAACCAGAAAGAAATAAATCAACTTTACTATTGGTTTATGAACAATAAATTAAAGAGTTCTTTGTCAATAAAAATCACAAATGTGTTTGTATCCATAAATTATTAATAAAATTATTTTTGCTTCTATTTCCCTTACAATATTAGCATTTTATTTTTCTGAAAAAAAAAAACCATTCGCCTTGTATATACTGATAGTGTTATTATCACAGGCTAGAACAGTTTTCTATGTCGATTATCGTCAACGCTGCATTCGATATATTATAAACAAATATTATGCAAAAGCGTGTGATGTCACGAGTACAATATTTACTAATAAACCATCCACAATAGCATCCAATGAAATACACAATGATTTATTTACAGGGAATTGTTATACAATTAAAAACTTTGAAGGACGTCCTACCATTGGAACGGAACGTTTATTCCAAAAAAATCTTCAATGAAATTCTTGAATTGAAAAAATACAATTCAATAGAATCGGAAAATGACAATTATGAAATTATTTCGTATTTATCCTTTTTAAAGCAATGGCAACACTTTTTCTATCACTTGTACAATTTTCAGTCGATTCCCCGAACCGTACAAATTGACAAGATTACTTACTTCATTAGATGTACACGTGGTCTTAATTTCCGGTTCGACCGAAAGCGAGGACGTGTTACCAACTATATATAACTCATTCCCAGGGCCTACGAGTATTAAAACTTTTTATAAATAGAATTCAGACAGAAAATTATATTACATATAGGAAACATTATATATACACATATTTTTACACAAAGCAAATTGACATTAAAGCATAAATGATGTACTTTTTATGGAATTCCATAGATAATGGAATCGTATTTTTGAATTATTGTTTTAATTTGTTATTGTTTATTACGTTGCACTGTCAATTATATTTTCTGCTATTCCTGTCTACGCTCATTGAAGACTAGGCAGCATGGTTCCCATCTTAGCCTGTTCCACAACGAAACAAAAAAAAAAAAATGTCTACGCTCGACTGGTAGATAACGATAAAATATTGTGTTAATTTTGCCATTTACACTTTATAGGTGTAATAAGGTTTGATAAATAACTCGTTCGAACTAATTCGCTGGCCAGGAAATAGTTTTAAAGCGATTTATAAATAAAATTTAGTCAATAAATTTGATTTACGTAATTCTTTTTTTTTTTTTTTAATATTGAACTAAGTACTATAAAGAAAGTATGCGAAGGGAATGCATTTTTTAAAATGTCTAATTTAGGTGCTAGTTCTGTACCAAACAAAAAAGGAAGAATTAGTTGGGTATTGCTATTATTTCGTCTTCATTTTTGTGAAGCTGTTTTTTTTTTTAAATTGTTTTTAAACATAAGATTAAATTCGTAAATATTTGTATTAATTCTCTTTTTGAACATGTGTCTTCTTACCAATATAATAAAAGTGTAACTAAACAACGTTTGAACATTGGAGATATTTAAGAAAAAAATGAAATAATACAAATAGAAACCAAAATAATATTTTTTACAATTTTTGCCTATCTGTTTGTTTGTTCCGGTATTATGTAAAAACTATTGCATAAATTGAATGTGACTTTCACAGTTGTTTCTGAAGATTTAACTCAAAATGGTGTAGGTATGTCTTAACTTCATACACCATCTAAAAGTTTTTTTTTATACGACTTAGAATAACAAACAAGCTGACGGCCCACCTGATGGAAAGCGGTAATTGTCGCCTATAGACATGAGCAGTACTATTGACGTAACACATACTGTTTTGCCCATGATACTCCCCAAGCGTTGCCATTCCTGAGGAATCAGGTGTTATTCCTCTGTACCCTGTAAATTCACGCCATATCCCACCCTTCAAACCGAAACACAGCCATGCAAACACAACTGCTTCACGGTAGTAGTACTTTTAAAATTCACGGATGAAGTAGCAGGTAAAAACTAATATGCAATAAATATATGACATTTGATATTCATGACTTTTTCCCTATTTAAATGACAATATGAATTTCACACAATATAGAATTAAATAACTCAATCTACAAAAAAAAAAAAAACAATGTGCATGTCCCAAGAACATTAACTGATCATCAAGCAATTTGTGATTTTATTTAAAAACCAAGGAATACCAAGGGTATGAATACAGATGTAAACTCAAAAACTGAGAATTAAATTATTTAAGATAATAATGAATAATTAAAATATGACATAATTTATTGATAACATCACAAATTTATATAGTAAAAAATATAGACAACCCCTTAAAATTACATTAAAATAAATTCATTAAAAGTAAATATATTTTTTAAACATCCAAAAGTTTTTGTGATGTCATCAATTTCGGTGTTTCGAATATAAACGTGCGATGTGCCCCATTTTTCGTGCCAATAACAGATATCATGCCTGTTTCAGCCATCCAACGACCGATCTGACGCCATCAGTGACTTCACCAGGTACGTCGACGCTGGTCGACTCTATTAAGGAGCTCCATCTGGACCGGAGTGCTGCTTGCGCCGCGAACGACGCCATAACTCGGACTGTCTTCACTAAAATCATTGTTCAACTGATGTGATTCTCAACTTTTGACTTAGAATTCACAAAGTAACTACACAGTTGTATAGAAACACCTTGTCACCATAAATTCGTTCACAGTTCATCAGTATTGTGTAAACTTATAAATATACACGATTTTGTTTTTTTTTTTTACTTTGATTATAATATCTTCATCAGATATTTTGTAAAACTACAAACAGAAATGTGTAAAATACAAGACTTCATCATTATAGTGTAAAATTGCAAACACTATTTTCTAAAACTACAAACAGAAATGTGTAAAATAAAATACTTCATCAGTATTGTGCAATATGATACACAAGATTTTGTAAAACCATAATCAGTAGTGTAAAATAATATACTTCATCAGTATTATGTAAAATTACACAAAAAATTTTGCAAAATTATAAAAAAAATATGTAAAACAACATACTTCATCAGTATTGTGTAAAATTATACACAGTATGTTACAATGTATAAACAGTGACATTGAGAAAATAAATCATGTATCGGAATTATTGCAACTTTTGGAATCATCCAGGTGCAATATTTCCCGCTTGGCTCAATAAATTTAAATGTCATACAAAAATCTAGATGGTAATTGTATGTAGCATAAAAGTTGAAGTTATTCCTACTAACATTTTACAGAGGGATAGTTAAAAATGCACAATTTTATTTAAAAATATAATAAAAAAAGTTTTTTTGAAATCATTGATGAATATTCCCTTTATATAACAAACTGTTAAAAGAGAATAATAATAATATCATCATGATCTTCCTACCCTTATCCCAGTTATTATTTGGGGTCGGCGTAATATGATTTTATCCATATTACTAAAGGATTTAGCTTATAGTTTTACGACCGGTCGCCTGCCTGACGTCAACCCTCTTTGGGAGAATAATAATTTATTTATTTATTTAATTTAATTTAATAATTGATACATATATAGCTCATATAGGTCAGAGGCTAACATTACAATATATATTTTATTCATGTAAGATTCTGATTATAAAACAAATACATTGCTACAATAATCATGCTTTATTGTATGTGGTATTTTTGATAGAGTTCATACATTTCATACTATTCTGTGATATTCATAATGCTGTTTATATTCAGCCTGTCATAACCACTTTACATCAACTCCGATCATGTCACTATCAACCTATCTATTTGCTGTTTAAAGTTACATAAAAAAACAACTTTAATGAAATAAATTTGAAAATAGAATATTCAAATATTAAATGATTATTATTTTTAAATACCTATTATAAAAAAAAACAGAGTCCTATATTCCATTTGGTAGGTGACAATCTGCCAACTTGGTTGCCAATCTATGTTACATAAAAAAGAAACTTTTATAAATTGATTAAATTTTAAAAATAGAATATTCAAGTAATGAATAATTCTTATTTTAAAACATCTATTAAAAGAACTAAATATTCATGTTGGTATGTTATCTTATCAACTTAAAGTTATATTTACACAATGATTGATTTTAGTTAATTTTAAATTTCAATCATTATCTATGTACACATAGTTTGACATATCTAAACCTTGCTATAAATAACTCAGGTTTTTATAGATTAGGAAGTTCTACTTCAGTAACACATATATGATGGATGTAGTAGGTAAATATTTGTGAATTTTTGGGTTTGCACAATTATTTTTTTTTAAATATATTTTACTTTCATTCCTACTTGAAAAACCTCTCAATTTTTTTTCATCATGTAAGCTGTATATTTAATTATATCTTTGATGTATATATATATAATATTATTGTTATTATAATATTTTTAAATTGTTAAAATGATGTATGAGTGGTACATGTTATGGACATTGAATGCCAAAATCCAAATATTTTTTTTATTTCAATTATTATATATTATATATATATTTAAATGTAGAATCTATTTATAAATACTATAATACAGAATTTGTTAATTTAATTTAAGTAATTCTATATTTTAAATTGTAATGATATTAATATTTATTGTCTAATTATAATAATTAATATCTACTATTCCAAATTTTTACTCTTGAAGGTCCTTTGCCTTCTTGCTATGAAAAACAAATTTTAAGTGAAATATTTTCATAAATGTATCAAAGAAAATGTTTATAAAACAAAGTGAGACTGATGAATGAAATGTGATTTTTTTTTTGTAGTTAAAGTCTTGTAAGGTCCAAAGAAATGATTTTCTTTTTAACACTCTTAGGTTTTTTTTTTTATACCACTGTGGTCACAGCACACAGTACAAGGTCCTTGTCACATTTTGCAGATATTATTTATAAACACAGCATCAGACTATATAATTTATATCTTCACAGTAAATAAAAAAAAAAATACATATTTGTTTGAAAGTTCTTAATTAACAAATATAAAAATTTCAGTAATTAACTTTTTTTTTTAAACGGACTAGGACTGCGCACTGCATCAAATTTGTGTAGGTCAAGGTGTCGTTCTATTTTTAAAACATTAGGACTGAGAATAAAATTATTACAGATGTCATTAAAAAAAATCGTAACAGGCTATTTACTATTACACGATAAACAATACACTATGATCGGCGTATTCCTTTTCTCGTATTCTTTAGTTCGAATGCTGTACTTATTACTTACATTTAAATTTAATTTTAATAAAATAAAACGCTTACCTAACAGAGTGGCAGGTTCCTAAATGGAACAATTGATTTTTTAAATATTGACAAGCCTCTTAATTGTCTTCTTTTGTGTTATAATAATAATGAAATCTTATATAAAATTATATTTCGATTTTTAAGGATGGATTTTGTTATGTGCATCGAACTAAAACACCCACCACAAACGGAATATATAATAACTGTCAGTTATTTGTCAAATTCGATCGACTGTCGGCTGTCAAAAGCAAAAGTGCGTTCCGTTTCACATAGAGTTCAGAGTTCAAGCATGGCGAAATTATTTAAAAACAAAATGAAATAGTTATCAAAATATTTTTTACGTTTTATTACTGTTTTAGTTGTATTAATATAGACTAGGATAATACCTATAGTGAAGCAGTTTTGTTTGCATGGCTGTGTTTCGGTTTGAAGGGTGGGATAAGGCAGTAAATTTACAGGGTACGGAGGAATAACACCTTAGTCTTTAGGAATGGAAATGCAGGGAGGATATTATGAACGTAACAGTTTACTCTGTTATATCCATGCTACTGCTCATGTCTATAGGCGATAGGCGACAGTTACCATTTTTCATCAGGTGAATCGTCAGCTTGTTTGCCATGATTAGTATAAAAAAGGGGAAAAAATTGTAATTGAATGTAGTCTATTAAAATAACTACAAATGTTGAATTACATCAAAATAAATTCGTAGTTTTTGGTAGTACTAGGTAGTTAGATTGGTAAGTAGTAAATGTATTTTGTAATTAATAATCATGATAATAGTTTTTGACTGTTGCGCTGTTTACATATATTTTTAATTCACGATTGGTATTTTAATGATTTTTATTGCTCACGTCAAAGTATCGACGATAAAAATCGGATATGTAGATATAAGTAGGTACTATTTACTTGTAATCGCGTCGCTTTAAGCCGCGACTATGAAATTAAAATAAATCACAAAAATTGATCCAAATTTGTCAAATAAATATTATATTGCGCATATACAAAAATAGTGTGCTCTAAACAGATATTGGGATATAAATTATAAAACAAAAAGTAGTTACAAAAAATTATATTTAGTAAATATTTCCACGAGCATACACACACACATGTATTCATATTCATGTGTATGCATACATGCTTATACATCCATACATAATACGTACATCCATTTTTAAATGGGCTGAAATTAAAGCTTGTATGAAGTGCACTCATTGCAAATTTTACCAGAGGCCTTTGCAGTAGTAATCACCCTCGACATCATACCAATCAACCAATTTCTTATCGTGCCATACAAAAGTGCCTCTCAAATTAGGCGATGCTTCTAAAATCACGTACAAAACCACTTCAGCTGATTCATCGGGAGTGGTTTCTCCTCCTCCGTGTGCCATGTCAGTTTTAATATGGCCCGGATGCACAGCGTTAATAGAAATATTACGTTTGTAATATTTTTTCTGTTGTACCATTGTTAATGCCGTTACAGCAATCTTAGACACTCTATGTTCAGCGTGTTTACCGTCGTCGGCAAAATCATTTTTATTGAACGTTCCGTTCCGCACACTCTCCAAGTAACTGTCAACAAAATTATTTATGTCATCTGTGGTGAGATCTTTGTTCAGCAAAACGTCAATCCAATATTTGTTTCTCAAATTTGATAGATGGCCGCATGCGCTGGAAATGTTTACTACTCTAGCGTTATCTCTTAACAAAGGGAATAAATACTTTTCGATTGTTAGTAAACTCTTGTAATTACAATCTATGTTCCTTTTAGCTGCTTCGTAACTCGGGTACACTTCGTCCCATTCTAAGATCGCTGCGTTATTCACCAAAACATCGAATCCTCCATGCTTTTCTTTAATATAATCTCCAAATTTCTTAATACTTTCTTCGTTACTTACGTCCAATACGTGAAATTCCGGTTTAAGGCCGATTTCGTTCAATTCTTTTACAGCTTCCAAGCCGCGAGTTTCGTTTCTTGCTGTTAGGTAGACTACGCCGGTATATTTTTGACACACCCTTGACTATTGCGAAACCCAAGCCTTTATTCGACCCCGTAACTATAGCTACTTTTTCCACCATTTTGCGCAAAATTAACAAAACCACTATGTAACGGTATTGTAATGAATAATAAACAATTAAATGTGTCAGTTTAGTAAGGTAAATCACTAAAATGTTACCAGTTAAGGTATCAAATTTTGTACATTAAATAAATTTATGTTTACACATACCTTTTTTTTTTTTTCGTGTGGAAAATCTTCGGAAAGACCGTCCCATCTGCCGAAGGGAGGGCAGCTGGGGTGTGTGGGATTCGTACCCACTAAAAACCACACTACGTACCTCGAGGCGCTTATGTTGGATCCCGGGTTCCCGTTTGTACTTTGTTGACTACCGAGTATCCAACGCGACGGCCCGCCCTGTATGTGGTGTAGGGCAGGCCTCCTCTCTTAGTTAGGGTGGGGAATGTCCCTCCCATCCTACCATCACAGGAGGGCACGGATACGTGCGCGCACCTCCTAGGGTCATATGAAGGGTGTGCCTCCCTCAAGGCAACACCCTGACCCTAATGGGGGGGGGGGGGGAGGAAGCAGAGTTGGGCGCGCCCCTTCTCCTTCGTCTGGCTCGGCGGTGGCGCATGGCGGGAGCGGTGGGGGCACTCTCCCGCTCCCGCTCGGCCGCCTCCTTCTGCGACATTACCGCTTCACAGAAGGTGAGTATTACATTCCACGACCTCTCGCTACTGACCATCCTCCGAACTATATTCGGCAGCGAGAGGTCACCCCCACTTCCGCAACCAGGACGCGGCGCTCTGCACTGAACGCTGGGCATTCTTCTAGAACATGTTGTGCCGTGTCCCGGTCGCAACCACACTCATGGCACTCAGTTGTCGGCTGTCTTCTCGCAATCTGACACAGGTACTGACCGAAACAACCGTGACCGGTCAGTATCTGTGTCAGCCGAAAGGTCAGTGGACCTTTGCGCCGCCCGCTCAACCAGTGTTTCAGCACTGGGCGGACAGCCTCGACGGTCCTCAGGCCGGCCCCTGGGTCGGTCAGCCTCTCATCCCACTTCTCCAGAAGGATCCGCCGAGCGCAGGACTTCCGTAAACTCATTTCCCTCTCGGTGGGGCACTCGCCCCGGGAACGTCGCTCCGCGCGCCATTTGTAGATCGACGCGCGAGCTTCTGCCTCTAGGTCCCAGGGCGGGGACCCCGCCAGCACACATGCCGCCTCGCGGGAGATGGTACGATATCCTCTAATGACTCGAATAGCCATGGCCCTCTGTGGCCTGTTGAGGCAGGTCACATTCATCCTATTTAAGGCTCCCGCCCAGATGGGAGCCCCGTATAGGGCCATGGATTGCACTACCCCCATGTATAGGCGGTGTTTACACATACCTAATATCACATTTCTAATATTTATAAGGACCCAACCTGTTTTAATAATATTTACACGCAATGAAGATGTAACTGACTTTTTTTAATATAATTTTATATTTTATTAGGTAATGCTGGAATTAAAAAAAGTACTAGTAAACACAACGGACTACTCATTTCCCATAATAGAGATATTTTTTATAATTAGCAACAATGAAATAGGTATTTAAATTCGATTTATTTCAAAACTATTCATTAAAATATTAATCTTATATAATGTATAACTGTGAAAGTGAGTGTTTATTTTATTTATCACTAGCGCCTTAACGAGTTAAACAACCCCTATGAAACTTGGTATATACAAACTATATGGGATGGAGAAGGATACAGTCAACTTTTTATTCTGCTCAGTAAACATATCCCAGTGACACGGATGATCCCGCGGATAAAAACTAGTATATATTATATATGATAACAGAAGTAACCTACTGTAAGTAAGTGCTCGTAAATTATTTTGAAGTACCTTACAATTGCTTTACCTACCTCACAAATAATTTGGCGTGAAAACAGATAATTCCTTGAAAAAAAAAACTACCGCCATTAAACGATTTTTATTTTTATATAAATAGCTGTCAATCTTAAATATATCTCTTTAAATCCATAACTAAAGCAAAATAGAAACTACCTATTTAGAATATTAACTATTAAGAAATAGAACCTACTTGAAGCCATTATTCAAAAATAAGAAAAAAAAAGTTATAAGTTTAAAATAATTATTACACAAAGTGTAACATTTTGAGTTGGTATTACTGGCAATGATAAGTTTGTTTGCTAAATTCTTATGTCAATGATATCTTATCCAGAGGGCATTAAAAGTATGAAGAATTATTATAAATGAGATAATGTTGACTTATTTGTATAAGTTATCTCGTCTTTTAAGTGTCTATTTATTTTTATTGACCCGGCAAACCCCTAACACCACATAATGTGTAATTTTTTACGTCATTATCATCACATTAGATGTTGACTGTCTAGTCTACTGCTTAGATACGAGGAAAGGGATTGTTAGTAATGGGGTCTAACTGCCTCATTGCTAGCAATATACCCTATCAGGTCGACCTCCACGTGGTTCCCCCTGGAAATCATCGTGGTTAATTCTAGTGCAATTCATAATAAGGGACTACACGGAGGTATTCTGATACCGCTGTGTGGTCCCGGCATAGAATGAGCTCCCCCTTCCTTTCTCGTGGGTGTGGTAAGAGGCAGCTAAGGGAACTTGCTGACCGAGGAATGAAAACTACGCTTGCCAACTCGCCTGCCAACTGTGGCAACTACTGACAAAATTCTCCATTTGAAAGAGTTTTATGTTACAGCATTGAACCTTAGCATCGAGCCTCAGAAACGAGTCAACTTTTTGTCAGCTAAGCTTTTTAAGCTGTTCAGCTAGCTTTTTTTATATTAATGTTCTATATACTTAGGCACACAATGTATCTTGACGTATCTATATTTAATTATTTAATAAATAAAATTATTTTTTTTTCGCATTAAAAAGGTGCAGAATTTATAAGACAAAATAAATATTAGAAGTTATAAAGGAATCATTCATAACTATTTATCACGCAAAATTGTATGAAAAAGTTGACCAGTTTTTCTTGAAGTATAATATTTGTATGGAGACACTCTATCTATATAATCTAAGCAATAGTTTTTTTTTTTAATGGGTGATAATGGAATGGTAACCCCGCCTGCACTAACGGTATACACTGGCGGGGCACCAGTGAGAAATGATAGGTGAGGATGAAAGCAGGTCAGTTAGACCAT